TTAATGTCCTGCACAGTTAAGAAAATACTATATTTTTCTCTTGGATAATAGCTCTCATGAAAACATACCATGCCTTCCATAGAACGTATATTTACACAGAAGTTGTTCACATAGAAGTAACAGAAGCTTTTAAGACAGCATCCAATCATAAAACTCAGTTGTGGCGTGTATCTTCCACAAATACTCAATGGTGAAACACTAATTCATCTCCCATCTCAGGAGCTGAAATAGAGTTCATCAAAAGAAAAAGGAAGGGGTGGTGATGCTTAACCTGCAGAACTCAGGAACCAGCTGTCTCTATCTGAGCTCTGGTTCTCAACCTTCCTAATGCTGCGACCCTTTAATACAGTTCCTCATGTTGTGGTGAGCCCCAACAATAAAATTACTTCCTTGCTACGTGTAATTATGCTACCACTAGGAATCATAACGTAAGTATCTGATATGCAGCCCTCAAAAGATCCACTGGTTGAGAACCACTGCTCTATTGTCTTCTGTCCCTTCCAGCTGTTCAAACTGATTGCCTTCTGGAAATGAAAACCTCCCTCGCTCAGGCCAGGGCAGTAAGTCTGGTGGAGCAGGTGGTCCTGGGTGAATTGCTGTGCCTCTGCATAGACCCTGGAAATCCATCAGTATGCTGTGCCCTAAGTAATGGGAATCAGAGTGACTCGTTACCAGCAGGGTGTTCATGCTTCTTTCACAGCTGTGGGCGAAGGCTTCTGTCACTGCATTCCTGAGACTGTGCTGTAAATCAGGTATCAGACACACGATGCACACACCCCGGTTTGTAGTCTCAATTCAAACTCTGAAACCTGAGTAAACGAGATTGTAGTCTTAAACCCCAGATGGCATTTTCATTAGACTTTGGGAAAATAAATGCTAATGAGTTTTAGCTGATGATTTATTAGTTCACAAATAAATGAAGTTTTGGGTGGATGTGGTGGTGCATGTCAGTACGGCTAGCATTTGGGAGGCTGAGCCAGGTGGGTTGTCATGAGTTTAAGGCCAGCCTGGAATACAGCATGAGACCCTGCCTCAGAAAACTAAGCAAATATACGTAAAAAATTAAGTTTTCTCAATTTGTACTTTTGACATCATTCAGGAGTTCCGCTTGCTGTTTCACGGGAAGAAGTGAGAACTGGGTGAGATGAGGGACCTGACATTTGCCTCATAGCCAGGAGAGTCTTAGTTTGAGCCTGTCTAAACTGAATGCATCTTCTCAGAGAAACATCATTATAATCCAGGGAGTTTCTAAAATAAAAGGTTTCTTGAAGCCCACAGATGCTAGCCAGGAAAACAATGGCCCGAGTTGTGTTTTCTGCAGTGACCTGGTGCGGAGCAAAATAGCAGTTCAAAATGCCATCCGGCAGGGGCAAAGGTTGGAGAAATTTTGTTCATTTTGTAGAAGAAATTTGCATTGACTGTGCTGAGGGGCAGGGTAGCTCGGAGCTTGGATGGGAAAGGTTGAAAGGGTAGTTTAAGCAGGGACGAGCAATAGTGCAGCTTAGACTGGTTTGCTTCGATTAATAGCCTAGTTTATGTAGAAACGTGAGACAGATGATCCTAGTGTTTGGACTGAGGAGATTTAAAACTTTAACCGTTATTCCAACATAAAGTGGTCTTATTCTTTGGTTGCACAGTTGTCCCCACTCCTTGCGTTCCCTCTCTCCTTTTCCTGTCCTCTAGCTGCTTGTCATAAAGTGTCAATGAAGGAAACACCTTTGACCTTGAAGGAACAAAAGAGATGGCTTATTCTGGGGGCAACTAGGAGTGACCATAGCCCCAGAACACAGATTTGGGTTTCCCCAAATATCACGTTCTAATGAGCTGGCAACTTTGTTACTTTTGGTCATGGGTACATCAAGTAGGTGGATTATAGCAAAGCAGGAGAACCTGCTCTAGGCTTCAGATGCTCTCTGAGAGCATTTTTAGCCCTTCAGTGGGTGGAAACTAGGGTTCTATATTATCTAACTAATAGTCACACGATGTTGGATCATATAGAGAGCATGATTTCTAAGAGTACGAAAGATGCCCTAAGATAATTTGGCTCTGAACGTGTAACACGTCAACTTCTCCATGTCACTGAAGATTAATCAATCACTTGATCAAACTTCGTAGTTATAGCTTCTTTCCAGGAATTCTTGTTCATGCCAGTGTTCTTTTACCACTGTTGTAGGAAGTCGTCACAGTCAGCACCTCCATAGCTTCACTCAGGAAGTGCTGCTGAGCTTCCGAATTCTCAATCACACTCATACCACACATTTCTTGTGTTTAATGTGTTTTTATTCTAGCAGTAAACACATGTTATCAAGAACGGATATTATCTAATTACAGGTATAGTAAAAACTCAAAGGGGCTGAGTGTCTCTCAGAAGCAAGAATGCCTGTCTATTATGTCCTAGGCTAGACCCACCAAGACTTTGCCCTAAAGAATACCAAAAAGAACCTCGATCGGAGAATTTGACTTGGTCGGGGAAGGACTGAGAACAATAGTTGTTGAATGAATACTTTCAGGTCCCAATGATTCATCAATTAAAATATTGTAAAGGGTGGTGGGAACTGGGACAGAGAATGGTGTACGTGGGAGAACCTGGGAAGAGGAAGTGGAGCTGAGTGGAATCTGGTGAGTGGAGACTAAAGAGGGAGAGTAGCTGCCTCTCTATCAAGGCTCAGGCCCTCAAAGTCACAGAAGTCAAGAGAAGTGTGGATTCACTGAAAGTGTCGGAACACTAAACTCTTATTTGCAACACACTGTGGCTAGTTTTGTGTCAACTTGACACAAGCTTGAAACATTAGAGAAGAGGGAGCCTTGATTGAGAAAATACTTCCAGGAAGAAGATCTATTTGTAGATTACAAACCTGTAGGGTACTTTCTTAATTAGTTAGTTATTCATGGGGAGGGTCAACCCATTGTGAGTGGTGGACGCCTGGGCTGGAGGTCCTAGAGTCTGTAAGAAAGCAGGCAAGGAAGCCAGTAAGCAGCATCCCTCCATGGTCTCTACATCAGTTCCTGCACTGACTTCCTTCAGTGATGGACTAAGACATGAAGCCTAAGTCAGAAAAACCCTTTCCTCCCCAGCTTGCTTCTAGTCATCGTGTTTACCAAAGCCATAGAAAACCTGACTAGGACAGAAATTGGTGCCAGATAGTGGGGTGCCGTTGTGACAGACTTGACCATGCTGCTTTTGAGAGCAATGTGGAAGGACTTTAGCATGTGAGCTAGGAAAGCCATTGAGTAATGAGAGCTTCGTGGGCTGTTGTGTAAGAGCTTGGGAGATGCGAATGTTGTGAGCAGTGCAATGGGGGCCTGTCTTGTGAAGTTTCAGGGGGGAAGCAAAGACTTTATTAGGCCATTTGTGACAAGAATCTGTGGTGTCTGGTCAGCATGAGCTGATGTATCAGCTGGGGTTAATAAGAGATCAGAACCTCTACAGCAAAACCTTTACTTTCCTGGACAATAGATGCTGGTCATCTGGGGCTGACAATCAGCTCTGATTAAGAAGAGACCAGCATTATTGAGGTGAAGTCTTTTGGGATGTGTTTCTTCAGGGTCATTACATGGAAGCTGTATTCCAGAGGTACCCAAGGTTGTACCTCGTGCTGGCACCTAAACTTGATAGTGTGAGCACCATCCAGCTGATCCTGGTTTTGAAGACATGAAGGGGTCATGGAGAGAAGCTGAGGCTTGGTGATATGGTTCAGGGGTAGAGTTCCTGAAGAGAACTGAGGAGAAGCTATTGGTGAAAGTGTAGCCCAGTTGCAACAAGAGATTCCAGCTTTTTAGAGGTGACAGTACCATGGGATGACCACCCAGAATGGTAGTAACTGTGGAGTGGAAAAAACGGAGCCCAGAAGACAAGCTCTCTGTGCTGAAGGGAAGTGAGCAAACCCTTTGGAAGAGCCCGGAGGTCATGCGTAGATCCCAGACATTTAACAGTTATCATTCAGTTTTGTTTTGATTTGATTGTGACTATACCTTGGTTCTTCCTTCTTAAAATAAGAAAATATTTCAATTATTTTTTATTTTATAGAAGCCTGTGGTTGAAAGACTTTCAACTGTAAAAGAGACTTTGGAATTTTAAAAAAGAGACTGAATTTTTAAAGTATAAATTTATAAGACTGTGGCACATTTTTAAATTTGTGAAAATTTGTGAAATGTTTTGTATTGTGATATTTATATTAATTTGTGATCTTGGAGGTGAAGGTTGTGGTTTAACAGCGATGTGTTGATAAGACGTTAGTTATCCTGGATTATCCTGGATAGAACTTTTTTTTTTTAATCAACTTGACACAAGTTAGCGTCATCAGAGGGAAGGGTGCCTCAGTTGGGAAGATGCCCCAGAAATGTGGCTGTAGGCAAGCTCATAAGACATTTCTTAATTAGTGATTGATGCAGGAGGGCCCAGACCATTGTGGATGGTACTATCCCTGGGCAAGTAGCTCTTGGCTCTCTAAGAAAGTACTCTAAGTAAGCCAAGATGAGCAAGCCAGTAAGCAGCACCCCTTCATGACCTCTGCATCAGCTCCTTTCTCCAGGTTCCTGCCCTATTTGATTTCCTGCCCTGGCTTCCTTCAGTGATGGACTCCATGTGGAAGTGTAAATCAAACAAACTCTTTCTTTCCTAACTTGCCTTTGTCCTTGATATTCTTCACAACAATAGAAACCCTGCTTAGGCCACATAACCTCTCCTTGCTGGACATCAAACACACCGATGATTCCTTAAATTATACCTTACCTTTTCTGTGGATTAAATTACACCTTACGCTTTCTGTGGATGGGGTGAATTGGGGGGAGGTGGGGGGCCAGGAGGAGGGAAAGGAGAAAAAACTGTGGTTGGTATGTAAACTGAATAAAAACTATAAAAAAAGAAAATTGAGAAAAATATGTGATCGTTATTTATAGATTCTTAATCAAGAAACGAGCATTCATCTTTCATGCAGACATATTTGTTATTGCAAGCTGCCATGCAGGTGTTCAGCATCACGCTCTGTTTTGTTTTCCAGCGTTCCAACATTCCAGAGCCTTCCTGATGAAATCCTCAGCAAGTTGGCCGATGTCCTCGAGGAGGTAATTGTTTTGGTCCTTTGAACTTCTTGAGATGGAACCCAGACTGTGAGTCAGACTAGGCTGCTTTCTCTCACAGCCCTGGGATGATGTGTGAAAATAACTGAAGGACCTTGCTAGTTTGTCCCGAGCTCTGGGATGAACTATAGATTTGACTTCAAATTAAAAGCAGCTTAATACACCCAATAGTAATACACAGTTAGACACAGGTGTGTCCGTTACTGGGGAGAAAACATCCCATTGTAGTAAATATAATGTTATTTCGACGTCTATGAATGATACCCTGGCACTTTTCTTCTTTCTTCAATTAATTGTGATCGTTGCCACCCTGAGATTAACAAGTTTACCAAAAAGAATTAGTAGTGGGTCTATATATTCGAAGCATGTGTATTTATTTTGCATATATAATTCATACCTGAATGTGGAATGCCGCAGTCCTTTCCTTGAACCCACGGTATTCAGGAAGATGAGAAACAGTAGACACGAGGCTTGTCATGTCCCACAGGGACCCTGCTGAGAGAGGAAAGGAACTTCTTCCCCTCACACAGAAACTTGGCATTGAATTGAAAGCATCCTGCTCCCTCCCTGACTGCAGGAGATCTGAGGAGATAGTCTTCCTGAACAGCGGGGTTCTCTCTAGAGAAAGAACTAGAAACACCCAGGTGCTTCTGGGTCTTTATTGACTGTGGAGAAAATAATTTCAGAAGGAACACTGTACAATAGCAAATATTTGAAACCCCAATGTTCAGGAGGCAGAGGCAGGAAGAGCCTTGGCTCTTCAAAGTCAGCCTTGGCTACATAGCGAGATCCAGGCTAGACTCGGATACATAAAACTTGTCTCTAAAAACCATAAAAAATAAAAGAAAGAGAAAGAGAAGAGGAAAGATGTGGGTGTACTCTTTCCCTCTTGGCCTGTTGGCCGTCAGTCCAAGAGGGGGGAAGGGTATAAGGGGTGACAGAAAGCTTTGTACGTTGCCCAAGAGCACAGATGGAGGGAGGGCCCGGGAGTCAGACTTTGGTGAATCGGATCAATTTTATTCCAGACTATAAGGAATATATAGGATTGGAGAGCCTGAGAACAAATGCTAATTTACATTAAGTGGCACACTCCAATCACAAGGCTTGGTACGTGGCAGTAAGGTCCTATAACAGAACTCCTAGCACAAGGCTTCTTAGCAGGAGGAGTCTGTGCCAAGGGTCAAGCTAAAGATGAATCAGGCAGCTGGTTTAGAGATGGCCTTTAGATAATGTCAGTCCTCAAGGCCCACGGTGACTCTCTAGATAAGGGTAGGTGGAGAGCAGGAAGCCTTGTTGGGGAAGGAGGGGTATATTACCATATTGTCAAACTTAGAGAAAGCTTCCAGGCTATGGCAGACTGCAACCTCTAACCAGTCAGCAATGTATTCCAACAAAGAGGAAAGGAGAGAAAAGGAGAATAGCATATGTCCAAGGCAAAGCAAGGGGCATGTTTGGCCTTTGGGAATCTTTAGATTGTATTTTTTCAAAGGATATAATCTACATCTAAGGATAAGAGATTATGTAACAATGTTTAGATGTGCTTATGTTTTTTATCTGGATGATTTCTTTCATGGAAAAGTTCTATGGTAGCTTATGAGTGTGCTACCAAGTTTAAGACGAGAAAGAACCGTTGATTAAATAAAAACATTAAGTCAGAAGCAGTCAAAGGAATTCTTACTATAAAATGGGGCAAAAAAAAAGTGAAGACGTAAGTTTAAACAATACATATACTCCTTAACCTTGTTTGTGAAAATTTCTCAGGAAAATGCTGACTGATAGATGAGAATAAAAGCAAGGTTAAACTCAAAGGCCACATTTGATTTGGACACAGTCTATCAACTGCTTTAATAGTCTGAAGCATTTTTGAAGAAAAGGATGATCTATATGCAGACAATCTTTCAAGTCAAGAGTTGTATTAAATCTCTTGACTTGCAGCTAGTAAAAGCCTTTCGCCATATCCAGGGACGTGATGAGCTCTGAGCTTGTTCCTTTTCTCATGTCTCTAACTTTTCCTGCCTTTCTCTTCTATCTCAGTTTTAGTGGCTGACATTGCTCTCTGCAGGTAGTGGGCATTTATGTATTGTTTCAAGTTGTAAAGACAAGAAATCTGTTCTATTTTGTGGAGGAAGCATAGATACATTGGTGGGAATCCTGGAACAGTACCAATGGAGGCAAATCTGACCACCAAAGTAGAATACCACAGCTCAAGTAAAAAGTATGGGGGAAATTGGTTTAAATCACTGGGGTGATTTAATGCTGGGATGGAGATCAGTGACAGACCACCTGCCAATCAGGACACCATCTGCCCTGCATAGATGAAAACCAAATTACTGACTAGGTATGGTATTGCTTATTACAGCACTGAGAAGTATAAACAGGAAAATTATGAATTTGAAGACAATCTAAGAATAGTAAATTCACTGGGTGATAATGGTGCGCACCTTTAATCCCAGCACTTGGGAAGCAGAGTTAGGCAGATTTCTGTGAGTTTGAGGCCATCCTGAGGTATAAGAGCAAGTTCCAGGGCAGGCAGGGCTACTCTGAGAATCCCTGCCTTGAAAAAAAAAATAAAACAACAACAATAACAAGAAGAATAGTAAATTTAAGGCTGTCCAAGGCTATGTTGTCAGACTGAGTATCAACAAATAAAAACTAAAAAGCATGAGAAGGATGAGGGTGTAGAGGAAGGAGGGGAGGACGGAAGAAATGAATTCAGAAATTTTGAAGATTATTCGGCAGCCCAAGGGAAACCTGAGACATGGACAATGTAGCAAAGGGGAACATTGCATCACAGGCTGCTTGATTTATTTTCTGTCATTCTGATAACCTTCATTGATTATCGCTCATAAGCCTTGAAAACTAACACTTAAAAAAGGGCAAAGTCAGTTCCTCACAGAGTTTACTACCTAGAAAGGAAGATACCCAATAATCAATCAGTTATCCAGGCTTTTAGACCGAGATGGAAGCCATTGGATTGTTTTAAGTAGATCCATCAAAGTATCTGACTTACACTTTGAACATGGTTCCCATAGCTACCAGGTTGAGGTATTGATGGGGAGGTATTGGGGATGATGGTAGAAAAAATGATGGCAGCTTTATTGACTGTCATAGATGAGATTGAGAAAAGAATGACAGATTGACTGTGAGAGAAAAACTTAGGAACTTCACTGTTATACTGCATGGTGGAAGAAGACAAAGAAGATGACGGTAGCACCGAGGCTAAGAACTTGAATACAGGGCAAGGCGAGTCAGGACTAGTGGAAGTGAGGGGTCCATGGGAGCGAAGTGACAAGGAGCTGAGCAAGGAAGGATGCGAGGACACAGAATCCTTGGGGCCCTTGGCAGAGAGATGGCTTTGAGTAATGTTTGGCAAGGAGCTGGTCAGGTATCTGGATGTCATTCTGAGGGACCAGATGTAGGTGAAGACTAGGCAGAGTGTGGAAGCAGGTAGCAGTCCAGCATTTCTGTAATGGCATGAAGAGATTTGTGGAGTATAGGAGTATAGTGCTGAGGGAAAACCTCAAACAAACAAAAATAAAGATGATGAAATGTCATCCACATACATTAAAGTATAAGAATATAAAGCACTTGGCTTAGTAGTTATAAACAAAAAGTTACTAATCAGATACATATGAATCATTTCCTGTAAAATACAGGGGGAAAGAGATCTATGCAGAAAAAAAAAGAATGACTAGGAAGGCATATAGCAAAGCTTTGACTGATTTTTAAGAGTTCAACTTTAAGAAACAGAGCAAATGAGACCAGTGGAAGCTGAAAATGTCAGAAGCATTTTTTTTTAATAGAAAACACTATCCTGAGTGAGATAACCCAGACCCAAAAATATGAATATGGTATGTACTCACTCATTAGTGAGTTCTAGCCATAAACAGAAGCATTTTGTACCTTAAAATTAAAAAGTGATTCAAGGAAGCGTTCACAGAATTTGCATTTGAATTCTGTTTAAATGATAAGGATAGAAATAGAGACGTTTAGATGGACAGGGAAAATGAGTTTGTTGGAGCCCAGGAAATATTGTTGTGCCGGAAACAGGATATTGAACAAGAAGGTAGGCTTTTCAGGAGAGGCCTGACATCTCTGTACACATGGAGGTGAGGGAGCTGATGCGCTGGCTGGAGCTATATACATCCTGACTGAATATTTTGTTTCCTTGGTAATATAGAAAACAAACAAGAGCATGAAAAAAAAGGGTGAAGTAGACATATGAATATCTTTAAAAAAAATAGATGGTTTGAAAGAAAATGGAAGTTTAGAAGTACGGTGAGATAACCAGGTACCATTAAGCCCCAAATGATGCTTGGGATTTCTCATCTAAATCAAACAGTCTAGAGATGTGTTGAGCAGCGGGCTGCATCCCGCCACCCGGCTAAGAATAATTAATTAACTTTTAGCTCAGGCTGATCTTTCATTATCTTTCTGCCTCAGTCTCCAAAGTGTGCTGGGATTACAGGTGTACACCATTAGGTTTGGTTTGTGTCCTTCCTTCCTTCCTTCCTTCCTTCCTTCCTTCCTTCCTTCCTTCCTTCCTTCCCTCCCTCCCCCCCCCCCCCCCCCCCTCTCTCTCTCTCTCTCTCACACACACACACACACACACACACACACACACACACACTTTTGCCTGGATTCAGGTTCCAAATAGGCAGATAATTGAACATAACCAGGACTGTTATTTTTTCCAAGAGAAGATGATTGAGAGAACAGATAATTGAGGACACGTGCGAGAATGATCAGAATGTTTGATTCTGGAAATTGGACCAAGCCAGGTCAATGACAAAACACAGAATCAGTGGATTTTAGCCTCATGACTTGAGGAATTTTTGGAGTAAGGTTGTAAGAGCAGCTAAACCTGATAGAAATAAAAAATATTTTTGTCGCTAAGTAGAGGCTATATGGGCAAATCTGTAGTCCATTCATAAAATCTTAGTTTGAGGCTTATTGAAGTAAGCTGGCCTATGATTTATTGATCT